CCCCCTTCCATTCAATGCCGTAAGATTACTTATTATTTGAAAGTCGGTACCTGAGATTTTAAATCTAACTCCTGTATTACTGAGCACAGTTGCCAGAGAGCCATGTTCAAAAATACTCTACTAAGAATTCGAACTAGCGTCACCCACATAATTTCCCTGAAAGATACCTATTAAGATTAGGAAGCAGCTTAAATTTGTGTTGACACGGTTGAACTAAGAAAATGGAGCGAAACAGACCCGCAGAGGCAGCTGCCGTCCTTTCCGACTGTTTATTATTTCTCCATGAACCCATGGGACAGCGTAAACTGGACTTATAATCATGCGAACTCTGGTTCCTTGGTTCGAGTCTCAGCTAAGTCCGGCTCTATGTCCTTGGGTAGACACTTTACACGGAGATAAACGGTAAATTTGGAGGTCCCGTACCTTAAGTAGACTTTTATTTTCAAAGGGCATCAAACTTATTCAATGTCTATTTAGCTGTGGGTATAACTTTGTAACGTTTCTCAACAGGTTTAATTATATATATATCTTTTTCTCAGTCTGCCTCTTGTTCTGTGTGTGTATGTGTCTCACACACATTCATGTTGTCTCCTAGTATCATACTTACTGAGTATCTCAGAACCAAAAAGAAACAAATACTTTGGCGGTAAAGGGGTTAAATCTTTTCTCCCTAAAGTTATACACGCCATTGTGCTCGCTCATATTATGACTTAATGCAGTTGCGAGCGCCGTAAGACCGAAACAAAACAAAACAAAACAAACCCACCTTTCGTATCACCTGTTTGGAAAACATGAGGTTTCTCTTGAGGCCATGTTTGGGCTGAGCCAGAACCTCCATTCTTCTCCTGCTGTACCCCTGTCCCAGCCGACGAGGGAGAAGTCTGTTAGGTTTGAACTGGCGGTCCTCGGTAGAAAAGTCCACAACCGTGTCACATAAAATGGAATCAAGATCATCTTCTGCCGGCACCCACTTCCCTTCTTTATTCGAAAGTGAAATGATGTCTGTCTTGGTATTTTGTCTATCTAGTACAATGTTTCGTAGGTCTGTATTCTGTTCGTCCTTCCACTTTTTGAAACGAGCGTCTCTCCTATACCTTTCCATGCATGTACGACATCGTGAGCGCGCGTCGGTCAGTGGAAACCGCGTCCTTCCTCTTCGCCTCATCACATTTGATAGTTTATTCTCTCCATTGTTTTCATGTGTTCCTGCCCAGGTTTTCTCACGGATAACAGAGTCAGCATTGTCTCGCTCCCCCCTGAGAAGATTTCCTTCTAATTCTTCATCAAAATTCACTGAGCTGTTACGTTTTAGATATGTTTTTCTCTTGTGTTCACCTTGTTTTAGTACTTCTGATATTTCACGTGAGATAGGGGAAGCAAATTGTGTGTGAGGAGCCTCGATTTTGTCTTCGGCACGGCTTAAGCAATGGTCTTGTCGTTCCCACTGTGTAACATTTTCCAAGATGTGCTCATCTTTAGCATTTGATGCATACAAAGTAACCCCACTGTCCGCCGTAACCTCCCTCTCTTGGTCAAAGAGGGGAAAGCTATGTCTGTTTAGCAACAACTGGTTTTCTTCTCTGACTCTCTCGACATGAGACCTTCGGAATTCCTTTGTTTTCGTACTTGACAATCTTTTTCCTGACACATCTGGCACCTGACTATAAATTGGCGGTAATTGCTTTTCTGTTTTTGCGATATTTGACTCAAAATGTAAAGGAGTTTCTGTTGTCTTTGGAAAAGTAGTTACGCCATTTTTATGAATATTCAGAACACCAGGTGACACATTTCCTTCATTAAATGATGGTGCTTCGCACACTTTTCCTTTTTCGTTGATATTTCCCTGGATGGAAAAAGATGCGTGGCGAACACCTCCCTTGGATTTACTGGAAATAGATATCCTATGATCTTGAAATGTGTTTTGGTTTATGTTGAAGACTACAGTCTGTGGGTTTACAGTCTCCTTTTTACCACTTCTATCCCCGGTCATTAGTTTTTGATCTTCAGCATCGAGAGGTGAGCATGATTCTGGTTGTCTGAACAGCATCAGACTTTGTCGTCTATCTTCCAGTCGGAATGGTGTTGGAGGAAGAGCAGAAATACTGTGTCCTGTTGACATTCGAACAAGTTTTAGAGCCGTCCTGACCGCTGCGATATCATGTTTGATCGAATCTTTCACTAAACAGTGTCTTTTGTCGATTGTCGTCAGCTCTGAGCGAAGTTTCACCTCTTCTCCGACGTTCTTTTTATGGGCAAAGTATTCGTTGGCCGACCAATTGGTACGCCCTATTCCATGCATTTTCCCCTGAGATTTAAGGGACTCCTTTCGAAGAAACTGCTTAGCATGAACAGTTCGTTGAAAACCGAATGTCGATCTCGAAAATCGTAAACTTGCTGTCACACAACAGAAAACATCTGACAAAAGTTGCACATAACGCTGAAACTTCTAGTCTTAAATTACACAAATGTCTGACTTCTGAGCTCGTTCATCATCTGATCTTAACATGTGGCTTTCCTTCAGACAAACTGGCTTTATACGGGCTCAACAAACTGAATACAAACGAACACTCTAAAGTAATGACGATAAACGTTTGACTGAAATTAACGAGAACACGAAGATCTCGGTCAGTCCTTTCATCACAGCTGACCAACCTGACAATTCACGCTCTAAACCAGGTTCTCACCGAACTCTTGGACTACGTTTGAACCTAATCCGGAAAACAATATTCTAAGAGCCGGAAATTGGTTACTGTAACTCAAGTAGTACTGCGCTGAGGTTCGGTGTCACTGTTTTCCACCTATGGACCGAACGGTGTAGCCCTGCAAACACAGCGTAGGTTGTCCTCAAATAAAACAGAGGCAGTATAAACAAGGTCGATCTTATGTATTCTTGTTCTAGCAACTAAGTTAAAGGTATGGACCCAACTTTTGTTATTATGATTCTTCGTAAACGGATAAAGAAGAAGGTGTTTACATATACCAGCTGAATACAAAGTAGCCTTTTGCGAAAAAAGGCTCTAACGTCATTATCTTTCTGTACGCACAAAGGTTTTTTCTGATCATAAAATACTCCAAATCACAGAGTAGTTCTAAACTACGCACATTTGTGTGGTAAACAGACTGTAAGAAATATTTTATACCTTCCCCTATATAAAGTCAATTAATTAATTAATAAATAAGTAACTGAATACGGTGACTGAACAACTAACTAAATAAATAAGTAAATAAAACAAAAAGAATAAATAAATACTTTTTTTAAAAGAATAGAAAAATTAAATTGCTTTTTATTAATGATGAAGAATAAAGAAAAATAAAGAAAAATTGATATTTATTGGGCAAATTATTTCGAAAAGAAGCAGACTGTTGGAAATGTTTTTTACCTTCCCCCTTTATACAAACAAATAAATAAATAAGGAACTAAATGCGGTAACTGAACAACTAACGAAATAAAAAAGTAAATAAAACAAAATGGATAAATAATTTTTTTTAAAGAATAGAAAAATTAAATAGCTTTTTATTAATGATAAAGAATAAAGAAAAATTGACATCTATTAGGCAAATTGTTTCGTAAAGAAGCTACTTCGAACTCACCTGACACAACAAGTCCGAGTTCTGTCGGACACACTCCAAAAGGATCATAACGATTCACAATGTTAATGTCTTACTCATGTGGAGAGTGAATCCATTTCTTTTGGCTAAAAAGTTAGAGGCACAACTACCTCGCCGTGTGTTGTTTACGCGGGGAAGGATGGAGAAGAGCCATCGCCTACTTGGGTTTTCCTCAGAGCCCACCTTGAGAATCTAGATCTCTATCTCCCTATCTCCCACTTTCTCCTTCTTATACTTTTGGCTGTTTTATCTATCTATTTGACTTTGTCTGAGTCTCTGACTCATTCTCTGTCTGTCTGTCTCTCACTCCTTTTCTTTGTATGTATGTATGTCTGTCTGTCTGTCTATCTGTCTGTCTGTCTGTCTGTCTGTCTGTCTGTCTGTCTGTCTGTCTGTCTGTCTGTCTGTCTGTCTGTCTGTCTGTCTGT